TATATCAATCAATATATAATCATATATATCAATTAATGCCTGTCTGCTAGTACCAGGAATGAAATATGTTTTGATGACACGTAATTTCGAAGTCTCTTGCTCTTTCTTGTTATCACAGCTTATGTTCAAATGTGGAGCTATATATTTACAGTTTATAAAGGGGAAAAAATGTTATAATAGTTTTGGTTTTGTGTCAATATATGCAGTACACCGAAAGCTAAATCATTACCTATGAAAGTGGTATGTTATTTATCTAATAATAGCACAATGGTTTGTAATGTAGTAAAATATACAGAGAGAAACATTTCTCTTAAGTTCTTCCAGAACATATTTTATTGCTATCTAGGAAAGTTATATCTATTCATTATCAACAACTTAATTTTTAATAGGTACTTGTAATTTTTTGTCTAATTTTTTACCGCCTCAGCGATGTATTCTATCTTATGAGTTTGGTCTTCTCCAAGTAGTCAACATGGCTGTCGTTGATTATACCAGCTGCGTTGTTGCCTACGAACCAACATGACTGCTTCTGCGAAAGCGCGGGTACCATGCGATATTGCTTAGTGACGGGCACTTCACGAGATTATTGACCCGGATATGCTCTTGCTGTCAATCGACATTTTACTATGTGTATAATATATATACTGTCTCTTATACACATCTAGATGTGTATAAGAGACAGCATTTTTTTTAACAACATTTGGTCTTCACAAATACCGTAAAACTACATGCCTTAAAGTTCCAAAAATAAATGATATTCTAATTACGCGCCAACTGGACCTTGTACGCCAAATTATGAATAATACATCCAAGGCGAAATCTTTTTATGCTCACCTTCTTAACGACCAGGAAAAAGATATATCTTTTTCAAAGAATACACTTAGGATTAAACATCGGTTTGCAAATCGATCAGACTTTTCTCTATGCAAATATATATTTAATGAAACTTATCGTAGCAACTTCAAACGCTCCATTAAAAACGTTGACTGCTTTAATCATGGTATTTGTGACAGTATCAAAACGATTCTATATGAAAATCCGTTCCCTGGCAACAATAACCTTGATCTCATGGGGCTAGTAACTGCTGAAGTCGTTTTGGTAGCATATATATGTGTGTGTGCATGTATGTATGTATATATGTATGCTGTCTCTCATACACATCTAGATGTGTATAAGAGACAGGCATTTTACAACCAGTAGCCAAAATGACCAATTTGCGTGTAAATACTAATAATAAACTTTTAACAAGTACAGTAATAAAAAGACAAAAGTAATGAGAATAACTTCAGGGAAATGACGAAAACGTACTGTACTTAAACGTGTGTAGTGCGTTCTGATTGGTTAGTGGTAAAGTCTAATTCATACAAATTACCGTACGAGATCGTTTGCCTAATTAGGCCTCATAACTGCTTGTTTATATCATTCCTTCAAGTCATAATGGTCTTGAGGCTTCCAGCTGAGTGTAGGGCTGTCTCTTATACACATCTAGATGTGTATAAGAGACAGATATATCAGTAGACTGAACGTTCTATCTAGGAAAGTTTAAATCTATTGTCATTATCCATACAACTTAATTTCTTAATACGTATTGGTAATTTTTTGACAAATTGTCTACCGCCTCAGCGATGTGTTTTTGTGTTTCATCTTATGAGTTTACGATACTGGTCTTCTCCAAGTAGTCAACATGGCTGCCATCGATTAAACCAGCTGCGTTGTTGCCTGCGAACCAACATGGCTGCTTCTGCGAAAGTGCGGGTACCTGTCTCTTATACACATCTAGATGTGTATAAGAGACAGCCTCAGCAGAGTGCTCAATGGTAATTAAACCAGAGTGAATTAAATTTTGTTTTTTATTCTATATATAACATACATATATACATATATATAGGCCTATATAGGCCTGTATGTATAAAACTGGATTGTGATTGTGACATCACGTAATTTTAAAACATGTCAATTTTGCAATTTGAGTGATAAAATTGTATGACTGGTTTTTTTTTTCTTCAAAAAACAATATTAATTATTAGGTATTGTTTTCGTTCTGCTTTTGAAAATCGTCTCTATATTTCTGTAAGTCGTTTTGCCAAGATTTTAAATTATAGTATATCCACATCTACATGTTGAAGTTATGTTACTGTTACTCCGCCATGCAAATTATGTAGGTGCAATAAATGCTTGCCCTCTTGGTATGCTTTGGCCATTTCGTCCTTAAATTCACGTTTCTTCCTTACATCTGCAAACGGCAAATCTTCGAGCACGAAGAATGACTTGTCTTTTAATAACTTTGCCTTCTTAGGAACCATATGTTTCTGAGGTCTGTATACGAATTTAGCAATAATATGACGGGGTTTTTTTGACTGGGGGTTCAGCTTACCAGATCTATGCGCATGTTCCTTGATTTTCTTGATTGGATTTTCACCTTTTTTCTTCAGATAAGCCTCCGAAACGCAGGTTAAACCTACGAGAATGCCTTTCAAGTTTAACCAGCTCGGTTTCTAGTATCGATTTTCTGTTGCTTTTGTTTAATCTCATTCGCCATTTTGTCCATGTTGGTTGTAAAGCTGGTCACATTTGTTTTATTTTCTATTATAGTATCAGTGTAAAATTCCAAAGATTGGTTCACTTCTTTCAGTTTATCTTCCACACATTTCATCCGCTTATCCAATTCGACTTGGTCTTTGGTAATAGAAGCTAGGTCATCGTCAATCAGTATGTAAATATCAAGAGACCATTTGTTTTAATTCACGCCTCAAAGCGTCTAAATCGTGGCACTAGCGGGATTTTCAAGCTGCATAGGTTCGGAGGTTTGGTCATTAGAGTTTTTTTATCTCGTTTTATGGCTCATTCTTGATTAATCTTCTAATATTTCTTACAAAAATATTCTGTGCTGTGTATATATATTAAATTTTTGTAAAAACTTAATAATTATGCTTAATGTTACCTTCGGTTGGGAGTATAGCAAAATTTTGGCGGAGCCTCAGTTGAAACACGTCTTTACACGATCACGATCATGCGTATAAAAGCCCCTCGACGGAGGGCGCTATATCCCCCTATCCCCTCCCCCATAGCGCCGTCACTGGTCCTAAACAACTCGGAAAAAGTAATAAAAAAGTAATAAAAAAAAAATTTTAAAAAAAAGTAATAGTAACGAAAATTCCAAGCTGTGGTCTAACAGGCTCTTCAACTTGGCACCAATAGTCCATTTTTGCACACTCCCGCACCCTTTCAATGGAAATCGGCAGAACGGCTCTAAACATTTTTAAAAATCCAAAGGGTCTACAGAGTATAAATACGTTTTAATAATTTACCTTAATTTACTTTCTGTTGAACATTGATTATAATCTTTAGCTTTAGGCCTATCGTTTTTAAATGCGTATTTGTTTATTTATTTCTTCCCGTGTGCTCGGCACATTAAATATCCTAAAAACAGATTTTTAAAAACAATTTTCCCGGGTTTTACTATTGTTTCTTCGGCTTTTATTTTTAAAAATAGTGATAATATTATCGAATCATTCAAACCAAAGATTTTCACAAGTAATCATATGACGTGGCATGACGTTGGCTTACCTCAAAGAAGCTAGGAATTAGTCGCAGCTTGCGTTTGTGTTAAATCTATTGCGTTTTAAAATTGTACCTATAAATTTTAGATATGCGCGCCTGTAGAAAATTAAGCTATGCTCAAAATATATATCCTTATTAAAATAATTAAAAAGGGGCTAAAAGCATTTCAAGAGACTTATATTGTATTATATATTTTTATTTTATTCAATATAAAAACTTAGTTGCATAAATCTGAATGTTGTTTAGATTACTTTAATATATAACACATGAAAAATTGTCAAAAAAGAAGAAAACATTAAAGCATATCACATAACCGAAGGAGCTAGTTACACTTTAGTTCAGCTAATATAAGTTGAGTTACAATGCAGGGAATTGTAATACATTTCACTTTTATTTCGCACAAAAAAAAATCAATCCTCGTATAACTATATATATATATATGTATATATATGTATGTATGTATGTATAATCATATACTGAATATTATATAATGCCTGTCTGCTAAAACCAGGAATGAAATATATTTTGATGACACGTAATTTCGAAGTCTAATGCTCTTTCTTGGTATCAAGTTTATGTTCAAATATGGAGCTATATATTTTATAATAGAGTATATGACTGGGACAAAATTGTTTATAATTGTTTTGGTTTGGTGTCAATATGTGCAGTACACTGAAAGCTAAACCAATTTCTATCAAAGTGTTATGTTATTTATCTAAAAATAACATAATGGATTGCAGTGTAGTAAAATTTACTGAGGGCAAAATTTCTCGCTCATAAGTTCCAAAACATATTTTGTTGCTATCTAGAAAAGTTTAAATCTATTGTCATTATCCCTACAACTTAATTTTGAATAGGTATTGGTAACTTCTTGACAAATTGTCTACCGCCTCAGCGATGTGTTTTATCTTATGAGTTTACGATATTGGTCTTCTCCAAGTAGTCAACATGGCTGCCATCAATTAAACCAGCTCCGTTGTTGCCTGCGAACCAACATGGCTGCTTCTTCGAGAGTACCATGTGATATCGCTTAGTGACGGGCACTTCACGAGATTTTATATTTAGCGTAGCACTGACGTTGAACTGGTCATTAACCCGGATGCTCTCGCTGTCAATCGACATATTGCTGTCTTGAAATTGTCCTACGGATGAAATTATTATCAATATTAGAAAATGTATTTGTTTTATGTGGTTTTATCTAAAAGTGACATCCAATTTAATACAAATGTTTTACAAGATATTTAAGAACAAGTATTAATAATTATAAGGCTCTATGGGTGTTATTATTATTAAGAA